CAATAACAATACGTAAGTTTGGGTTTGGTTTTTTTGCTTGATTTTTACACACAAAAAAAGCCGAGCGGAAGGTTAGTGTTCTCATTGGTTCAATTTTATATACAAAATATGTGTCAAGTGCCTAACAAACATCTAGAAGATTCTAAATAATCTTAAAGATATCGTATGTAAAATCAATTGCAGAGAATTTGGATTTTTTTATATAATACTTTCATTTTCATTATAACATCAAAGTTTTTTTTATTTAAATATGTTAACTACTCATTTTAATTTTTAATATTATATAATTCTATATTAGGATTAGTTGTTGGTGTTTATATTCTTAGATTTTTTAAAGTTTATAATATGGTTAAAATGTTTAATTAATAGTTAAGAAAAAACTTTAATTGACTAGTAATTTATTTGCATTTTTGTTTATATGATTTTTATACATATCACATATACTCATATAAATAAAATGAAGCATATAAATAAGTTCGGTTTATTCGGTTCGGTTCGGTTCGGTTTTTCAAAGTAAAAACCAAAACGGAACCAAACAATAACGGTTCGGTTTGGTTTTTTTACATTCGGTTTCGGTTTTTTTGGTTTGTTTTTTTTAGCTCGTTTCGATCGATTTCAGTTCGGTTTTCGGTTTTCCCGACCCAGCCCTAGCCTCTTCTCTATCCGTCTCTTTTTTCTTTTATTTATTTGCTTGGTTTAATAATTGGGTCAAAAGATGGTTGATCTAATACATGTTTGGGCTTGGTCCTAACTTCATTTTCTCTTCCATTGCTTTTGCTCCATATGTCAAATTTCATTATCTTTCTCAACTTTGTAGTGTTCCAAAATATATCTAAAAAATTGTCAAGAAAATAATACTTCCAAATAAATTTAAAATATATTAATATTCAAAATCATGCATTATTTGTATAAAATGTAAACAATAGCCTTAAATGCTAAATATTAGAAAATATGAATATTTCGGTATAAAATGCATTTAAAGTATTTAAAAAGTGCTAAGAAGTGAGAGAATAAAATATGATATTTTGTGACTCAGCAATAATCATATAAACAACAAACGTATTTCCATATAAATATATTAAAGATTCCTCCGTTATATCTTGGGTGTACATACCTCGAATACGACACAACGTTTGAAGGAACCAAATGAATCAACAACGTCAACGAACGATTGTCGAACTATTGGCTTTCCAACTTCCTAACGGATCCTTGAGTTCCGTTTTCTTCCTCCAATATGTTACAAGGGCTGTGGAGAGTCGGCACGCATCCCACAAATAGCGGATTGGATGAAACGGAATGAGTATTGCGGCGGAAGTTGCAAACCTCGCGTATTCCATCGCCACTGGACCAGGTTTGGTAGAATGGCCGTATCGCCTTCGTTACTTGTCCGATTGACGAACCGTTTGCGGTTGTGGTTCATCGACTCACAAGGTAACAACTTTGGTCAAGAAACAACGACCAAACATTGAGTTGAAGATGGTCGAAATTCTGCCCACAGTGGAATGACAGGATTTTGCTTCCAAAAATCAGCACCTCCTCCTTCTTCTTCTTCTTCCTCTTCACCTTCTTCTCGTCTTTATCCTTCTTTCTATTTGCCGGAGCTCCGTCGTCCCCTGGGCTACTGTTGGCCAATGTTCACAAGGGAGAGAGAGGGGGGGGGGTTGGATCGTTGGTTGGTGGAGAATACAAAGTGAGAAGAGGGGAGAAAGGAGATGCATGTATTTAAGGAGAGATGGTGATGATGATTCCTAGGCAAGGAAAAAGGAAAGGGGAGCTAAACCATGGAGGGGAAGGGGGAAGGAACTTCCAAAATGACTCCGTAATTAAAATAACCGTTGAGAATGGTACACGCATTACTCCAAATCGAGAACTAATTCTGTTTTCGGGAATAAACAGTCAAAGCTAAATTTACGACATGTTTAAAATATATTTCTCAATCCTTTGTTCTCTAACCTCTAGGTCTATCCCAATCATTAATGAATTGATTTACTTAATTAATGTCGAGAGACCCATTATTAAAACATGTTTCTATAAATAGAATACATTACCTTTTCAAATCCTTTAAAGAGATCAAGATCTCAATATTTATTATTTTAAAATAATTAGTCTCAATAAATAAATAATATTTATTCATTTAAAAATATTGGCTAACTATTAGGCCAGATTATAGGGTGTTACAAGATGTTTAGTGAAGGCCCATATACATCGATATGTATATCTTGCAATGAATAAGAACCGCATGTATCATTTGATTCAAAATCATATGATCCCATTATCACCCACCAATCATGAAATGGGAGTGTGTAACTTGTTCATTTAGCCTATACAATTAGGCTAGTGCCAAACAAGATCTAAACTGTTTGGTTTGTATCTTATGGTAAAACTGTTATATATGCAGGTATATTTTCACAATAAAGTATGTAGATCATTTGATCATTTTCGGATAAGACATATCATTTCTATAAATAGATATATGATTTGTCCTTAATTGAAAATAATTAAAAATCATCAAACATGATATGATATCTTGCTAAAATAAAACAAACAATAATCAATTCAATATTCGAAAAACCAGATCAAATGATAAAAACTAAAACATGATATCAGAATTGCAATGCATCTTGTCCTATAGTTAAAACTAACTAGGTAGGAACAATTTTCAACTGTAATCACTATTAAAACCCTTTGTTTGCTAGGTTATTTTTGATAAAATCACTATTACAACTATTTGTATGAACTTGATTAGGAACCAGAGTACAAACCCAAAATAAAAAATTTATTTATGATATGAATTTTGAGGTGATTTATTGAAATAAATCATGAGAATAAATGATATGAATTAAAGGTGAGAAACTTTTCGAATAAAGGTCAACTAAAACAATTTGGACTCTGTCAAAGTCAAATACCCAAAATATAATGTCAGAAAAAGTATTACAAATAAATATAGAAGTTATGTTATTGGATAGAAATTAATTGTACGATCGCAACGGTGTAAAAAGATTTCAATTCGGAGAAAGTTGGACCAAAAAGTATACCCCAACTGGAACCATTTAGGTCCCAATCAGGGAATTGCATATCAACTATTGGAAATTGCCGCTAGGCGCACTACGCCGATCGCGGATTGCAAGTGATGCACAACTTGGAGTCTTCCTCTTCTTCTTCACTATAAAAGGAGGACCAACTCTTCTCATTTCTTCACCGTTCTCTCTATTTCTTCTTCTATTATGTTCTTGAGAATGTAAGGAGTGTTGTGGTGCTGTCAATTTGGTTTGAAGTCACCGGAGCTAGCCACAAACCTCACCGGGAGTTTTGCCAGAAAATTCTCAAAACCTTCATTAAGCATTGAAATAAGCCCGTAGATATATCTAGTGACTAGAATGTTCGTATAAATCGTTTTTACATTCATAAACGATCGTTTGGTGGAGTTTTGTGTTTGACATACTTGGAGAACCAAGAATTATAAACCTTGAAATTGTTGTTAAAACTATGAATTAATGATACCAAAATGGTCTATGAACCTTGGAAAAAATTTCTATACAGTTTAGTTGAAGTTTGGTAACTAAAAATGATATTTCTGAAATTGAACCCGAACGAAGAAGAAGATGAAAAGTGGTCGAGAAATAGACAGGATGGATCAATCCAAGGGGGTGGATCGATCCCCAGGGTGTGTTTTTTCTAGTCTAGATCGATTCAAGGTGCTGGATTGATCCCCCGAAGTTTGCTCTGAAAATGCTATTTTTGAGCTCTAAAACCCTATTTTTGATACTCATCAATTATGATCAACATAAAGGTGATTTTTCACAATAAAAGTGATGTTTTTGACTAATAAAATCTTATATGATGCATGACGGTAGGCTAGGGTGTTAACACTCGAACCTAGGCCGCTATTTGTTATTGAATATTGTGATGATTATTACTAATTGATGGTTAGGATGATGATTATTGATTGATGATTATGATGATTAAACCTTGATGAATATTCTGATTAAAATCATAATTATGAATGATTAAATCATAATGACTATATTGATGATTGTGAAAATAGTATGTATTATTAGGGGTATCTAGAAGAACTCTAAGATATACTCATATTAATGTTGATTTGAAGGGTATGTAGAAGAACTCTAAGATATACCCAAATGACCATTTTAGTTAATTGATATTGATTTCAAGGGTATCTAGAATAAGTCTAAGATATACCCATAGTGATGTTGATTTTGAAGGGTATCTAGAACAACTCT